CCAGGCGGATCTCTGTGAGTTCGAGGCCAGCCTGGGCTACCAAGTGAGTTCCAGGAAAGGCACAAAGCTACACAGAGAAACCCTGTCTCGAAAAACAAAGAAAAAAAAATACACAAAGAAAATGCTCTCAGGCTTCCCTCCGCACACCTGACAGAGGCATTTTCTCAGTTGGGGTTCCTCTTCTCAGATAACTCTAGGTCTGTGAAAAGTCGACAAAACCCAGCTGGTACACATGCCAAGCCCGGAAGTCAGAGTTCCATGCCCGTCTTCCTTTCTTTCATCTCTTACATTCTTTTCACTCCTTCTTCCTTAGTCCCCTGAACCTTAGAGGGATTGGTACAGATTTCCTGTGTATGGTTGGGCATTCAACGGTCACTTCCTCTCAGCAGTGAGGAGTCTCTGCAGTTATAGCTAGCTACTGTAGAACAAAGCTTCTCTGACTGTAGCTGACAGCAGTACTGCCCTGGCTAGCTTTATGTCAGTTTCACACAAGCTAGAGTCATCTGAGAAGAGGGAACTTTAACTGGAAAAAAAAAAAGTCTCAATTAGATCAGCCTGTAGGCAGGCAAGCCTATAGGGCATGTTTTTAATTAGTGATTGATGGGAGATGGCCCAGACCATTTTGGGTGGGGCCATTCCTGTTCTAGTAGTCCTAGGTTCTATAATAAAGCAGGCTGAGCAGGCCATGAGGAGCAAGCAAGGAAGCAGCACCCCTCCATGGCCTCTGCACCAGCTCCTGCCTCCAGGTTCCTGCCCTTCATGAGTTCCAGCCTTGGCTTTCCTGAATGTGACTCGGGATATGTAATCCAAATAAACCCCCTCCTCTTCACGTTGCTTTCGGTCATGTTGTTTCATCACAGTATCAGAAGAGGAACTAAGATATGTACTAATCTATGGGCATAAACATAGTTACTTAGAACACAACGTGATGGCACACTGTGCCCGTTTAGTGAAACAACAGCCGTAGCTTCCCCTACTAGAGCTGTTGACTTCCTCAGCCACACACTTTTGATTGGGTTTATGGTGCCGCACGTTAACTCACCGCTGTGAACAGGCCTCAAGTCCACTCAGGAAGCTGTTGGTTACTGCCATGAGAGACGTACCATTATTGCACCAGTGGTACATCCAACTTGGTTGGTCAGTAGCGTGCCTTGCCGGGTCCACATCCAAGAATGGTGCTGGTGTCACGTCTCCCCCCGCAGCCTGAATAGCACCCATGAGGGCAGTTCAGCACCATGAAGCTACCCAGCAGGGAAGAAGCCAGGCTCCAGCTTGATTTCTCGGGGTCCTGAGACCGGTTTCTACAGCGGCTTCAACAATAGGGCCGTACCCTCTAGTTCTAATGAGCAGCTCGCAGTGGGGACACCTGCTTGTATTGTTTGGGAGACCTCTGAGACTTCTTTGGCCAATTGCTCATAGCAAGACAGTCTACCTTCTGCACTGGGGTTTTTATTTAATAACAATGGCTTCTGGAAGCTTCTTTTCACACCACAGAAAGGTACCTCTATTCAAACATTTTCTGTTACTGTTTTTAATTTTTTTAAATCATCTTACCAAGTATCATATTTCTTCATGGCTTTTTCATACACTCTTATTTTCAGTTGACTTCCCTTCCCCTCCCGCCTCCCCCGCTTCCACCCACAGATCTTTATTTATTCGTTTAGACATTAAAAGCTTCAAATCTTTTTTCTTCCCTGTCCTGTCACCTGACCTCTGCTCTCTTAACTAAATGAGTCACTTAGCAGGTCTCGCCTGAGGACGCCTATCCTCAGACTGCTAGTGTGTCCTTGGCATGAACATCTCTAGCTGCAGATGAATAAAGCAATTTCAAGCAAAATGGCTTATGGTGTTATGGAGGGGGAGCTTGGAAATACTTGACCACAAGGCTTTTATAAGATGGCACTAGATCTGAGCTGTAACTGCTACAGAAGTTCCTCTCTGATCCTTAACAGAATAAGGTGGCGTCTGGGTTAAGTGGATCCCCAGGACCAAATGAATTCCCCAGCCCTGCCCAGAGATAGACAAGAGGTCAGAGGTACCTACTTCGGAGCGGCTCTTCCTTAGCTGAGTGGTTTGGGGTTAGTCTTGGGATTCACTGTGGCTGAATGGAAAGCTGACTGCTAATGATAGGGTATTTATAACTTACCAAATTTCCCCTAAGACAAAGCAGTAAAGTCTAAAGCTCAGCTGTTTAAACAAACAAACAAACAAAAACTGTTTCTTTAAGTTAAAACAATTCTGACTCTTGACTCCCAGCCTGCCTAGCTAGCAGGAAATTTAGTCTATGCCTTCCAATTGGTCCCCATTGCAGGGTCAAACCCCAAGTTGGAGCTTATGCAAGATCTGAAAAGGAGGGCCCTCTGACCACCCTCAACTCCAGTGAGCCCTGTTGACCCAGTTCATAGGCTACCTGGGCCTCCATTATTCTTCCTGTGTCCTTCCGGGCCTGGAGCCAGAAGATTCTGGCACAGCTGGGATGCTCTGCCCACCTCCATGTGTCTTGGTCCTGCTAACCCTGCAAGTCTTTGCAGAGATCAGGGAGCCACCCACTGCAGCCCCTCCTAGCTAGGCGGCCTCTCCTGTCTCTGGCTTGCTCTCTACTCCCTCCTCTTATCACCCCTCAGGGGATGAGTTTCAGTCTTTGGAAGAGGTCCTACCTAGCCTTGCAAATGCAAAACCTGAGGTCAAGGACACTATGGTTTTGACATACCATCACCACCCCCCAAAAAAATGGTAATCCGAATTTACCTCAATGTCTTTGTGGAACTCAGAAAAGAACATACTGGGAAGAGTTCTAAAGGAAGTAAGTATGTTATGCCTCTGTCAGTTGTATCGTGTGTTCGCAGATAGTATGAAACTCGGTGATTCCTGAAGGAGAGGGATTCCTTTTCCTCTCTCCAGTTAAGTCTGAGGCTGGCATCCAGAGCACCTCGGTGTTCCAGGACCTGCGTGTTCTCTGTCGCTCTGCTCTGGTTTGCAGAGACTGACATGCTAAGGTTTCTTCCAACTGAGATGGTTGCCCTGGCCAAGCTGCGTATGCAGCCTTCCTGTCCAGCCAGGAGGGGAGAGAGCAGAATAAAAGAGCAAAGGGTTCTCATGGAGCTAAGTAATGGCTGCTTTGAAAGAGTGTTCTAGATGTCCCATGTCTAGATGACCCTATTGCTGAAGACGCTATATAGACTGGTCTCAGGAGCAAAGGGTTCTCATGGAGCTAAATAATGGCTGCTTTGAAAGAGTGTTCTAGATGTCCCATGTCTAGATGACCCTATTGCTAAAGATGCTATATAGACTGGTCTCAGGACAAGATGGTGACCTCTGAGTGCCACATGTAAGGTAGAGAGCAGTAGAAGAAGGTAGCCAACATTGACTCTGTCCTCCGGGTGCACTCTCACGGTTCACAGCTATTTGGGAGATAATGAGCTAGATGCATTCT